TAATAAATCTATATCATAAGTAAGTTTGAAAACCATTGTATTATTTTATTATTTAAAAATAAAACAAAATGTATACAAATATCCATAGGCGTGCACAGACTTACCGCAGGGGGGCCCCTTAAAAAGGTCCGAACTAAAGATTCTTGTGTGATGATAATTGATTAATTAATAAAATAATAACTTAATCACATTTATATTTTATTTATACTATTAGATTAAAACTGGCTTCACTTTCTTTTTGTAAAATCTAAAAATTTCGCTGTCTAGTATAATATAAATATCTATGCATTTATTAAAGAAAAAGCCAGAGGCCGCAGAGGGGGCCGCGGCCCACCCGGTCCYCCCTGTGCGCACGCCTATGCAAATATCGTGTGTATAAAATAAATTCGTATCAAGACACTCTTAACTCAAGAAATTCCAAATCGCAGTATTAGCGAATTGTAAATTAAATGATACATTTTAACTAGGTAAATTAATCATCTATATTATATTTATATATGAACTAAAATTACAAAAATTCAAATTGACTGAGACGGTCTGTGTCATTGATTGTTAATGTTCCAACGCAATTAATGTAGGTACACCTTTTCTTTTAATCGCGACGCAACTGACGAACACCGGAACAAATTAGATCCTAATCTCATTATTCTTAAAACCGGACATAAGTTTATACTTAAAATATCACTTTTGAAATACACGCCGAACGGAACTTGCCTAGGACTACCATTTTTTTGTAGACGAAACGTAGAGGACGATAACATTCAGAACGCATTCATCCACTAAAATGTATAAGCATGGAATGCAAGTCATTRAAATGCTAATTGTCTAGATCCTTGTGCTCAATGAATTAGGTATGGGTGTTTATACACAGACTTAATGTTCACAGTAAACGGATAGTAAACTCGTAAATATAGTAAATGTATAATACCTACCTATTAGAACAAATGTAATTGTATATTATTAATCATAATGTATTTATATGGTAATTAAAAATTTAGAGTATCAATTAATATATAAATGTGTTATTTATGTAATAATGTAATATTCAAAATTATTGTATAGCCGCATAGGCATTTTTTATCACAAAATAAATAAGTAAGATTATATATTATATAATTAAAATATTACAATTAATATACCTAATATGAGTGATACTTACTTTTAGATAAATTTGTAATTGACCTTAAAATAAAAATACCAGATCTGATCATATAACATTCCCTCTTTGGTTTAAATAATTTTCTAAAATGTAACCTATTTACATTAGGTAGGTACTTCAGARTTTTTATTTATACGTTTTTTTTGGATGCTACCCATTTGGGACAATAAAAACTAATTCGTTTTGAGTATAGCCCATTTTCGTTAAATGTACCAGRGTATACATTTTATTATAATTTATAAAAAATATCTAAGTATATTAACTATTATTACCTATAGCCTATAGTTTTTATAAACAATTTGTACATTGTACCAATTCTGATAGTTGTTAATTATTA